GGCAGGTGCAGGGTCTGCTGGCACGGGTGCTTGCAGCCTTGCAACTGGCACAAACTGTGTAGCCCGCCCGTGGCCCTTTAAGGGCTCCGGGGCCGGGAGGGGGTCAATAGAGTTTCCCTGGTGTTGGCCAGAGTGGCCACCAGGGAAACCTGGGAAGCCTTAGCCTCCCACTAGTTCGAATTAAGGGTCTACACAGCCCTTAATTCGAACTAGCTAGTTTGAACTAGGCTTAATCCTCGTAAAATGAGGTTTACCTAGTTCGAACTAAGCGCTCCGTTAGTTCGAATTAAGTTCGAACTAACGGAGCGCTAGTGTAGCACCTATGAAAGTTAGTTTGAACTAACGTCCGTTAGTTCGAACTAACTTTGTAGTGTAGACATACCCTCAGAGGAGAATGATAAAATCTGAAGGGGTTTCCAATGGTTCTTTATCCTTGAGAAGAGAGGATTTCTGGCTACTTTGGGAAGCAAGGTTTAGTGTGGACTCTTCACTGGACTGAATATTATTTCCTCTTCTCCCATCAAGGAGCTACCCCATTATCTCAGCATGCACTCTGCCTGTTCACTACCATGATGCTAGTTGCTCATCTCTGCCTCTAGCTGTGAAGCAATTCATTCACAACAGGCTGTCAAGCTGTAGGTGGGGAGAAACTGGCAGAAAGCCCAGAGCAGCTATGTGCGGAGAGTTGAGGCCAAGCAATGCTCTCAGGTGCCTGAGACTGTAATATTGTTTGGTGCGTGGGTGCATAGGCTGCAAACGGGTGAGAGGCAGGGAGGCCTGTGGGGGGTTCCTTTAAAAGGGAGAGAGCAGATGTGCGGAAACACTGTGGAGAAACAAGAGGAGCATGAGTAAGACACTAAGTTGAAAAAGATTAGTGCCTCACATTAGAATACTCAGAAATAATTAATGTTCTTTCTCTGTTATAGCAAATAATCTGTTTCAGCCAATCAGATGGTTGGAATCCTAACCCATTAGGATAAAAGGCAAAGCCGAAAGATAAATATTAGCCAGCATGAAATCACATTGTTAATAAAAGTAGCCAATGTTATTTTAAAACTGGTTCTTTGTGGATAATCTAGTGCTTATAAGTCTGTTATCTAAAGCAGTTTGTATGTCAGTAAAGATACTATGAGTAACTGGCACTCTGCTGTACCAATAGTCATCTGATAAAATAATTTAATTGACATAAATTATTTGGTATAACAGAAGTAAAGTCTCTGAAATATAACTTTTTCATCTGATCTATGTGTCATGCTTTGAAAATTAATCTTCTCCTTGTCTCAACATTTATTGCCAAAAATGCATCAGTTTTGCTTCAGTATTTGAGCTACAGGAGGTATTATTCTTTGGCATTATCTCTTAATTAACAGGTATTTTTCTGGTGGTGATAATAACTTAGCCTAGAAAAATTACATTCAAAATCTTCCTCATCTTACTCTCACAAGTAGTTTAATTTATTTTAATGTGACCACTCAGCTGGATAAGGTAAGTGGCATTTGACCTAAAGATGAGCATTTAATCACATCAAGAGCGGTCTGGATAGCAGGAATAATAGTGAGTAGTAATGTCAAGACTCAAATTTGCTCTCTTCTACACTTGTGGGATTTCATATATTGATATTAAATTGATATATATTGATATAAATTTTGTAGAGTAGAATTTGACTCTATATTCTAACTTGTTACCTCCTATAGTACTGTACTATAGCTTCAGAGGGGTAGCCTAATTAGTCTGTAACTGGAAAAACTTAAAAAACAACTAATAGTCTAGCAGCACCTTAAAGACTAACAAAACATGTAGATGGCATCGTGAGCTTTTGTGGGTACCCTATGGTGGCTTTCTCGGAAATGCTTCCAGTTCCACGCGCAGGGCCTGGTAGGCAGGCAGAGCTTCAGAGTCTCAATGCGTGGATGAGATGATGGTGTAGGGCAGTTTTGGAAGAGGGGGAGCCTATACAGGAAGGATGGGCTCCACCTAAACCAGGGTGGAACCAGACTGCTCGCACTAAACATTAAAAAGGCCGTAGAGCAGTTTTTAAACTAAGAGATGGGGGAAAGCTGATTGGTGTGGAGAAGCACGTAAATCGGATGGAGACTTCTCTTTCAGGAGAATGTATTGATAGAGATTCTCTAAGCTGTAGTCAGAAAGAGAGGAGGGGAGAGGACAAACCATGGGCCAGAGCAGACAAACAACCACATATAAAGGAATCCAATGCATCAGGGAAGGGCAGACAAATAAACAGTGGCAAATTTTTAAAGTGCTTCTACACAAATGCTAGGAGTCTGACTAATAAGATGGGTGAACTAGAGTACCTTGTATTAAAGGAGGAGATTGACATAATAGGCATTACTGAAACCTGGTGGAATGAGGAAAATCTGTGGGACACAATCATACCGGGATATAAAATATATCGGAAGGATAGAGCAGGCCGTGTGGGTGGTGGAGTGGCACTGTATGTGAAAGATAATGTAGAATCAAATGAAATAGAAACATTAAATGAATCAACATGTTCAATAGAATGACTACGGATAGTAATTCCATGCTCCAATAAAAAGAATTAATCAGTAGGGATATATTATCGACCACCTGACCAGGTCAGTGACACTGACATTGAAATGCTGAGGGAGATTAGAGAGGCTACCAAAATAAAAAAAACTCTATAATAATGGGGGATTTTAATTATCCACATATTGACTGGATACATGTCACCTCAGGAAGAGAAGCGGAGATAAAATTTCTCAATGGCTTAAATGACTGCTTCTTGGAGCAGCTAGCACAGGAACCCACAAGGGGAGAGGCAATTCTCGATTTAGTCCTGAGTGAAGTGCAGGATCAGGTCCAGGATATAACTGTTACCGGACCCCTTGGGAATAGTGACCATAATAACATTCAACATTCCTGTGGTGGGAAGTACACCTCAGCAGTCCAGCACCCTGGCATTTAATTTCAAAAAGGGGAATTACACAAAAATGAGGAGGTTAGTTAAACAGGATGCAGCATACGAAGATTCCTCTTTCGAAAGAGGCTTGCAGTCTAGACATAACCTTTGACACGGTCCCTTACCAAAGGCTCTTGTGTAAATTAAATTGTCATGGGATAAGAGGGAAGGTCTTTTCATGGATTGAGAACTGGTTAAAAGACAAGAAACAAAGGGTAGGAATAAATGGTAAATTTTCAAAATGGAGAGGGGTAACTAGTGGTGTCCTCCAAGGGTCAGTCCTGGGACCAATCCTGTTCAACTTATTCGTAAATGATCTGGAGAAAGGGGTAAGCAGTGAGGTGGTAAAGTTTGTGGATGATACTAAACTGTTCAAGATAGTCAAGACAGAAGCAGATTGTGAAGAACTTCAAAAAGATCTCACCAAACTGAGTGATTGGGCAACAAAATGGCAAATGAAATTTAATGTGGATAAGTGTAAAGTAATGCACGTTGGAAAAAACAACCCCAAGTATACATACAGTATGATGGGGGCTAATTTGGCTACGACAAATCAGGAAAGAGATCTTGGCATTATCATGGCTAGTTCTCTGAAAACTTCCACACAGTATGCAGTGGCGGTCAAAAAGGCAAATAGGATGTTAGGAATTATTAAGAAAGGGATAGAAAATAAGACATAGACTGTCTTACTGCCCCTGAATAAAACTATGGTACGCCCACATCTTGAATACTGTGTATAGATGTGGTCTCTTCATCTCAAAAAAGATATTTTGGCCTTAGAAACGGTTCAGAAACGGGCAACTAAAATGATTAGGGGTTTGGAACGGGTCTCATATGAAGAGAGGTTAAAGTGACTGGGACTTTTCAGTTTAGAGAAGAGGAGACTGAGGGGGGATATGATAGAGGTCTATAAAATCATGAGTGGTGTGGAGAGGGTGAATAAATAAAAGTTATTTATTAGTTCCCATAATAGAAGAACTAGAGGACACCAAATGAAATTAATGGGTAGCAGGTTTAAAACTAATAAAAGAAAGTTGTTCTTTACACAGCGCACAGTTAACATGTGGAACTCCTTGCAAAAGGAGGCTGTGAAGGCTAGGAGTATAACAGAGTTTAAAGAGAAGCTAGATAATTTCATGGAGGTTATGTCCATAAAAGGCTATTAGCCACGGGATAGAAATGATGTCCCTGGCTTCTGTTTGTCAGAGGATGGAGAAGGATGGGAAGAGACAAATCACTTGATCATTGTCTTTGGTCCAACCCCTTTGGGGCACCTGGTGCTGGCTACTGTCAGCAGACAGGCTACTGGGCTAGATGGACCTTTGTTCTGGCTCAGTACGGCCATTCTTATGTTCTTATCTTATGTTCTTATGTTGTTTTTTAAGTTTATACTATACTATACTATACTATACTATACTATACTATATTTCATTGTGGAATCTTAACTTTGTTGTGATGCTAGTAAGCTGTAGAATATATTAAAAAAAAAAAACCCAACCCTGCATGGTATCTGATAGGATTGTTTCTCTGTGGAGTACACTCACACAACCTCTTGATACATATTTATTTATTTAAAATATTTAAAAAATATTTTAACATGTGAACTGACATATCTTCCAATGGGAATTCAAAGGAACCTGAGAATATTCTCTCATTCACATATCTGAGGATGTACCATTTTCTTTAGAATATGGATCCACTTAGAAGTAGTGAATATGATTCTGATCTCTCATTGTTGTAGATTAGGAGTAACTCCACATAAGTCAGCAAAGTCTGCATAGTTGTACCAGTGTAAACATGGAGTGATATCGGAGTCAGACCAATCATTTTTAACTTTCTAATCTTGACATATATTGATATAAATTTTGTACCATTTTGTCTTGAAGGATAGCAGATAATTTCTGTGTTTGCGAAGGATACAGCATACCTCGTTGTCTACTGTATGAAATGTATCTAGAGAATTGCACTCAGAAGGCTCAGAATCAAGTAAATCCAGCTACATTTGGAAAGGTACAAAGCACATTGCCTTACAGCATATTTGGGGTTTAAGATAATGGGCTGAAACCTTGCATAGGTTCATAAAACCTTGTACAAGTGTCTCTTTATCAAGCTTTGCAAACTAAGGGAGCTTAATTTATAGACAAGGATAGGTGGTTATGCAATAAGGTACCTTTAATATAGGACACTGGGAGAGATATTGTTTGAAAGCTTCTATCTCTTGATATATCTTCTTTGGCTCCCTTAGGAAATTTTATCTGCATTTTTTTCTCTCTGAGGCCAGGTCTACATTTGAAACTTTTGTTACTATTGCAATGATGCAAAGAAGTGTGATTTTTTAAAAATGACATTTCTATACTTGCAAAAGCTCTAGACATAGCACAGATGCAATTATACCAGAAAAAAAGTCCTTTTGCTAGAACAACTTTTTTTTATTCAGCAAACTGGTATAAGAGTTAAATTGTATCTATAATAGGAAGAGGGGAGCTGCTTCAGCTGGGCCAAGGGCCAGTTAACAGGTTACCCCGGTAAACATGCTGGCAAGGCACTGGTCAATAGTTAACAGGTTAAAGCTTTATATCCCTAGTTGTAATTGTAGTGGTCCACTGGACGCAGAAGGCAGTTGTGAGGAGGGAGTCACAAGGTTGTTGTGCAGGCGGGGGATTGCGGCAGTACTGCTACCAGACCCACTGACGGGAAAATTACTGAAAGGCCTGAGAGCCCCTCTGTTTCTAAGGTAGCTCTGCCTGCTCTGGGGAAAGTGAAAGTATCTCTTGATTCAAAGACCCTTTTAATATGCCCTATGCAGGTTCTGGGATGGGGTTATGGACCCTGGAACTAGCATAGGGCATATCAAAAGCATCTGTGAATCAAAAGATGTTGCTGTAGCTTTTCCCCAGCAGGCAGGTTCATCAGGGGAAGGGAGGTGCGGAGCACTGCAGCTGCCCTGGGGCTCATCTGAATAGGTGAGGGACAAGGCTGGGCTGGCCCAGGGCTCTCCAGGCAAGTGGGGGTGCTTGGGGCTTCTCCAGGCTGGAGAAAGGCTTGTGACACCAGCCAAGGGAGAGGGACGGGGAGCCTATTGATTTTTCTGCCCTGGGCTCAGAATTGCTGTTGGTGGGCCCGACTGCTACCCTTACTTCTGTGCTGCTGCTGACATGGCACTTCCTTCAGAGCTAAGCAGTTGGAGAGTGGCAGCTACTGGCTGAGAGCCCAGCTCTGAAGGCAGAGCAAGTACCATCGACAGCGCAAAAGTAAGGGTGGCATGATATGATACTGACACCCTTACTTTTGTGTTTCTGTTGACAGGGCACTGCCCTTGAAGCAGTGCATCCAAGCAATAGCTGCTTCTCTCTGGGCACCCAGCTTAAAGACAGTGCAGAAGTAAGGGTGGCAATATTGTGATTCCCTAAAATAACCTTGTGAGCACCTTTTTGAGTCAGGACTCCCAATTTGCGAAATGCTGGCCTCTGCCATGAAGTATGTAGTATAGGGTAAATACACACAAAAGATCAGATTTCATGGAAAGTGATCAGATTTCAGATTCTGTGATGCATTTTTCATTGTTATGAATTTGATAGCACCCTACCAATAAACCAGGGGTGGGAAACCTCCAGCGTGCTGGCTGGATGCAGTTTGTTAGAGTTAGCAGCTGGCAGATTGCCAGATGGTTTGTTTACCTGAGCATCCACAGGCATGGAGAATACAGCTCCTGTTGGCCTTCAGCAACAGCAAACCATGGCCACTAGCAGCTGCGAGCTCAAGTAAACAAATGGTCTGCTGGCCTGCCAGTGGCTAACCCTGACTAACCATGTGCAATCTGCAAGTCAGAGGTTCCCCACCCCTGCAATAAACCTTTCATGGAAACAAGTAGCACTGTATTTTTTTTATCCAAGTTTTGAGGCTGCAAAGCATCCTGGTCTTTCTGTTGATTATATCAGTATTTTTTTTTAAAAAGTTTACTTATGAAGATTTTGCTCCACACACAGAATGTGTATTTTTAGCATTATCCAAGCAAATAAGATGCAGGAGTAAAAAAGTCCATTAGACAATGTCTCTCTTCTAATAGGCTGGAGCTTTCATAGCCAATTATCTTTTTACACCCCTAATCCTGCAGTCCTAACAAACAGATGTATACCTGCTTAACTTTATCTGTGTGATTAAAGGAAAAACATCCCCCCCCCCTTTTTTTTTTTTTTTACTATCCTTACCCTACATAGTTTGTGCTCAGTATTTTCCACTATTGCTACCACTGGTGCAACCACTGGTTTTCAAGCTGTTAGGCCTTGTCTGCACATTAACTTGATATTGCTTAATTAGAAGTATTGTTTTAAATGAATTTAGCTTAGTTGTACAAGTTTATATGTAGTTATTTTTATTTCAGTTTGAGTAGTTTGTTGTTTCACAGGATTAAGGTAAATCAAAATAAGCAACTCTTAAGCCAAAATATGGCACACAAACTTGCATTGGTTTAATTAAATGGATTTTAAAAGACACATTTTGTTAAACTGGTGCAAATTGTCATGTAGACAAGTCAAGGGGTGAAATCCTAGTCTTATTGAAGTGAATGGGAATTTTACATTGACTTCAGTGAGGCAAGGATTTCACCCAAGACCTTTAAAGAATGTCTGCACTGGAATGTCTGCACTGGGCTAGGTCAGCTGACTTAACTGGCTGGACTCAGACTGTAGGGCTAAATATTGTGGTGTAGACATTTGGCCTTTGGCTGGAGCCTGGACTCTAGCTGACTCCCTCGCCACTTATGGGGCCCCAAAACTCAGGCTCTAGCCCATGCTTGAATGTTTACATGTCAGTTTTATAGCCCCATAGCCCAAGCCCCATGAGTCCAAGACAGTTGAAGTGGGCCAGAAGCAGGTGTTGAATTGCTATGTAGAAAAAGCTCTATTTTTACTACTGTGTCATCTAACTCAGTTTAGCTCAAATAGTGGTAACATCGTGGTAAAAATGCTGGCAGACACTGTTGGCCTGGTTACACTATAGCTCCCATCATTACTACCAATGTTGTATCTACATCTTAGGACAAAAGAGAAAAAAATCTAATGTAGACAAGGCTTTGACAGCAAACAACTTTATACATGATTGATTTTGTTCCTACACTGCTCAACAAAAGCTTGTGCAGTTTAGATGCATTGTGTAGCATGAGTTCTCTTGTTTTGTCTGTGGCTTTATGAGAGAGCTCGTATTCATGCTGTGCAATAACAGCATTTTAAATTATTACAGTATTATTTCATGGTGCTAATTTTGAGAGGTGCCAAATGACCTCAATTCACATTTCCTTCAATATGTGTAAAGATGGTTTGGAAAAGATTAGTTTGGAAAAAAGAAGATTAAGGGGGGACATGATAGCGGTTTTCAAATATCTAAAAGGGTGTCACAAGGAGGAAGGCGAAAATTTGTTCCTCTTGGTTTCTGAGGACAGGACAAGGAGTAATGGGCTTAAAGTGCAGCAGGGGAGGTTTAGATTGGACATTAGGAAAAAATTCCTAACTGTCAGGGTGGTCAAATATTGGAATAAATTGCCAAGGGAGGTGGTGGAATCTCCCTCTCTGGAGATATTTAAGAACAGGTTAGATAGACATCTGTCAGGGATGGTGTAGACGGAGCTTGATCCTGCCTTGAGGGCGGGGGGCTGGACTCGATGACCTCTCGAGGTCCCTTCCAGTCCTATTATTCTATGATTCTATGATTCTATGGTACTCAGCAACTTGATGAACTCAATAAAAGAACTGGTAAGTCAAATCTGATACTGGAAGCACTAGTTATGTGAGAAGCTAACTGAAGTCATTGGGACTATTTGTGTGATTAAGAAGTACTTGAATGAGAAAGGCTTGTCACACTGGACTTCATATTTGAGATGTATTCCAGCAAATTCAGCAGTGATTGTCTGAGTGTTATTGGAAGAACAGGAATCACAGCAATTTGTGAGTGAATATATAGTAGTGGAGAAAATTACAAGAAAACAAATCAGATAAAGTTTTTTATGCTAGTGTGATGTGCCCAGTAATTCTTATACCTTTTGTGATTTTTAGCTTGTTCGCTTAGTTTTCCCAGATCTGGGGACCAGAAGGCTGGGCACAAGGGGAAGTGCCAGGTATTGTTTGTTTATTTTATGTATTCCTTTATATACAGATGTTATTTACACCCATTTTGGGAAAAATAAAATAAAAGAGCTGTATAATTAGTTCTGATAACTTGAAACACTGCTCTGCCACAGCTGAGGTTCTTATTGAATGTCTATAATAAATCACAATAACTGCTCTATTGTGATTGATGGTGTTACCAGTAAACTAAAATAGGATTAATTTAATGAAAGTCACCATATCCAAGCTGTTCTTAGCATATGAATTCAAGATCATTTTAATTTTCTAAACTTTCAAAACACTACTTAAACTAACTTGCGTTAGGGGGGTGCAGAAGCTCCCTATCGTAGTAAGCGCTCCAAAGACATTGTGTGTTAGGGAGGCACAGTGATCCTTGTAATTGGGTAAACCCAAGAACTCTTATTTTGACCAGGCTTGTGCAAAAGGCCCTAAAGATAGGGAGTCTCTTCTGTCTCTGCACACCCACTGAGTGGCTTACAATCTTGCTCATAATGGAAGTGTTATAAACTCTTACTGCCTTCTGTTCACACCCTAGCTAGAACATATACTTAAGACAAAGGTGGGCAATAACATTGCAGTGGTTTGCCAGGATTAGTCCCTGGTGGGCTGCTGCCACTATATTTAACTGCACTGCCGCAGGTACTGGCAATCACAGCTCCCGTTGTCTGTGGATCACTGTTCCCAGCCAATGGGAATGGCAGGAAGTGGTGCAGACCAAGACACCTCTTCCTGCAGCTCTCATTGGCCGGGAATGGTGATCCATAGCCAACGGGAGCTGTGATCGCTGGTACCTGTGTCCGTGCGGGTAAATAAAGCAGCGGGAACCCACCAAGAGCTAACCCTGGAGGACCAGATCCTGCTCGTGGGCTGGTATTTGCCTACCCCAAATTAAGATCTAATAATAAGAATTTCTGCTCTAAGCTGGGAGCTTTTGTTGGAATCAACAGAGGAGAGAGACCTAGGTGTGTGGGTTGATCACAGGATGACAGTCAGCTACCAATGTCATGCTGCAGTGAAAAAAGGCAAATGTGATTGCACAATGTATTAGGCGAGGCATATCCAGGGAGATAGGGAAGTATTAATGCCATTGCAGAAGGTGCTGGTAAGGCCTAACGTGGAATAGTGTGTACAGTTCGACCACTCATGCTCAAGAAAGATTAATTTAATCTGCAACAGGTACAGATAAGAGCTATTGGATGATCGGGCAATGGAGGATCTATCTTATAGGAGCAAACTGGGCAAGCTCAACTTGTTTAGCAAAAAGACGGCTGAGGGACGATATGTTCATGCTCTATAAATACATCTGGGAATTAAATACTAGGGAGGGTGAAAAGCTATTTAAACGAAAGGACTCTTTTGGCTTGCGAACAAATGGGTATACACTGGCTTTGAACAATTTCTGACTAGAAATTAGAAGAAAGTTTCTAACCTTCAGAAGAGAAGGTTTTGGAACAGCCAGTAGGAGCTGTGAGGGGCAGAGCACTTAAAATTAATGTTAAGAAAGAGCTGGATAAATGTATGAGTGCAGTTGTATGACAGGGTTATTTGTGATGGTGAGGGCTGGGTACAGAACCATCCCATCCATTGAATGGTTTACACTGGTCACCTCACACCTTGCGCTTTGAGGGGTCCCATGCTTCAAAGGGATGCAGAGGCTGGGTGGGACAGAGACCAGCAGTAGCACAACCGACCCCACTCTGTGCTGCTTGCTGCTTTAGGGGATGTAGGGTATAGGTGGCATAGGAGCTGGCAACAGCATCCCTAGCCCTGCTCTGTTCCATCCTGCTGGCTCCTGCCGCTACTCAGGAGAGAATGAGGTTGAGGGCTTTGGGGAAGAGGTGGAATGGGGCAGATGTAGGAAAAGGTGGGGGCTTGTGGGAAGGGGTGGAGTGGGGATGGGGCAAAGCAGGGGCGAGAAGAAGTGAGAGTAGTGACTTGGAAAAGGAGTGGAATGGGGGTGGGTTGCAGGCAGAGCAGGGGCAGGAAGGGGCAAGAGTGGGACCTGCAGCAGAGGGAGGGTTGTCCCGGGTCCTACATCCCCCTCAGGACAGCTCTGTCTGGGTACAACATCTTTGCAGCTCACTTCTGGTTTAAGTCCTATGTTCCTAAAGCTCATACTTCAGGTTATCAGCCAGCCACCAATAGCGGTAAGGAAGGGAGTGTCTCCTTCCTTCCCTTTCCCAGTATAGTTTGGGAGGTTTTGGAGGGAGTGGGGTTTCTCCTTCCATTGTAGCATCTTGAGACATAGGGATGACCAGGGACCTTATGTGGCACAAAGCATTCTCTTTCAGGTGCTTAGCTGGCTGCTGTTTGCTCACACACTCAGGCTACATCTACACTACATGCTTCTTGTGCAAGAAGCCTTTTGTGCAAGAGTTTTTGCCCAAAAACTTCTTGCGCGAAAACACGTCCACACCTCAAAGCACATCGCAAAAGCGATGTGCTTTTGCACAAAAGAGCATCCACACTGCATGGACGTTCTTGCACAGGAAAGCTCTGATGGCCATTCACAGAATGGCCATCAGAGCACCTGTGCTTTTTCCCATAGGGGTTTCTTGCAGAAGAAACCCCTCTGGAGCATCCACACTTGACTTTTTGCACAATAACTTAGTGCTAAAAGCAGTTATGCCTCCGAAAAGGAGGTTTACCTACGGTGGAAAAAGCCCTCTGTTCTGCTGTTTAACTGCCCATTAAATTGCACAAGAGCTCATTTGAGGTGGGGACTCTCTGCAGGTTTTTGCGCAAAAACAGCTGGTTTTGCGCAAAAACCTTGTTATATAGACGTAGCCTCAGGGTCTAACTAATCCCCATATTTAGGGTCAGGTAGGAATTTTCATTTGGGTCAAATTAACACTGACCTTGGCGATTTTTTTCCCCTTTCCTCTGCTGTCACGGTGAGAGTCATTTGCCGGGACCGTCGGGTATATCAATAATTTCCCCTACCATTTTGGGCCTTAGGCACTGGTGAACTGTGTTCTCTCCTGCTCTTTACTTGTGGCACCTAATGGACTAGTCTCCACTCCTGTGGGTTGTAATACAATGGCTTTGTTTTAGTTGTTGGGTTAGTGTGTAGTTGCTGGTTGATGCTGGTGTCCTGTGCTAGCTACAAAAGATGGAGTGGCTCTTCTTGCCTTAAACTCTATGGGTATGTCTAGACTACAGGCTTTTGTCAACAGAGGCTTTGTCGACAGATACTGTCAACAGATACTCTGTCGACAAAAGGCTTTATTCCTTGTAAAATGAGGTTAACACCGTCGACAAAACTGCCGCGTTCTGTTGACTTACTGTCGACAGACGCAGGTATAGTAAAACCTTGTAGTCCAGAAGCACCCTATGAGAGAGTTACCCTGAGAAGGGGGGACCTCTGCTGGCCATTTATGGTAAGAATTGGGCCCATTAGATATTGTTTACTAAAAGCCAGTGGGGAAATGGCACTTCAGATGCTGTACAGTGGTATGACAGCTGTATGAACAGTGGTTCCACATCACTTCAATATCAACAAAAGGTGCCAGTGCCCAGTGGGAGGTTTAAAAAACCAGGAGATTGAATTCCTCGGGCTGCTGCTGGACAGGTGGCATTCTTACCTGAAAGTGGTCATAATCTGCCATGACTGGAGATCAGAGGCTAGATTTTCAGTTTGTATAAATTAGTATAGCTCTGCTCAAGTGGTGTCATTGACTTCAATGAAGCTAATAGATTTACATCATTTGGGGATGCAGCCCTAGATTCTGTGCTTCTGCTACATAGGTTTATTAATGGGTTTGTTTCTTAAAAAAATATTAAATTTCCAAGGCTGTTTTAAAAAGAGATTATAAAGTTTTATTTTTAAAGGTTTATAAAAATTATGCGTTCATTCAAATATTAGACAAAATAAGATTTAAATAATTTTAAAAAATAAATACAGTTCCCCATTCACCCAATGAAGAATATAGACGTGAGTTCAGTGATGACTTGGTCTTGCAAACTGTATACTTGTCAGTCCATTACATTTTGTATTTTTTAGGTATCACTACGATGGAATACATATTAAGAAGAGCTCTTTCTTCTATGCACATTATTGCAATCTTCTGTCTGAAAAAAAATATCACAGGTTTGGTTTTAAAAGATTTTTTATTATTACAGGTGTATTAATAATCCAATTTTCTTTAAAATCTACTTCATTGCCTACTGAAAATTGATAACATGATTATATTTCTCTATAATAATGCACTCTAATTAAATATTGTCATTAATACAAAGGCTCCATTTTTTAAAAGTAGCAGTTGCACACCTAATTGGTCACATAATCATACTTCCATGCACTTGACATTTTCAACAGATGGCTCTTAAGTGCAGGAAAGCTATAACAAAGCTAAAAGAAGAGCTTTAAAATGCTGAGAAGCTAAATAAGAGAAAAAATATAAGTGATTAGCACCAATGGTGTGAACACTTATTTAATCATGCTAGTGCATCTTGATTTCTAATCCTTACAATTTAAGCAATGTATTTGCACTTTTAACTAATTGTGATTTGTTTAAATACATTCTATTTAAAGTTTTTGCTTTCTGTTTCTTACCATTCAAATTAATGAGGGATAATCTTTATTTTGAAAAGGCCTATATTGTTTTGATTCACTTTGTATTTAATGCTTTAGAGAGTTAAAAAGACAGCCACAAAAAGCAATTTGTCTCCTGCCATCTATCTCCAGCCTTTGACAAACAGAGGCCAGGGACACCATTCCTAATCCCCTGGCTAATAGCCTTTTATGAACCTAACCTCCATGAATTTATCTAGCTCTTTTTAAAACTTTGTTATAGTCCTAGACTTCACAGCCTCCTCTGGCAAGGAGTTCCACAGGTTGACTCTGTGCTGTGTGAAGAAGAACTTTCTTTTATTAGTTTTAAACTTTCTATCCATTAATTTCATTTGGTGTCCCCTAGTTCTTCTATAATGGGAACAAATAAATCACTTTTCTTTAGTCACCCTCTCCACACCACTCATGATTTTATATGCCTCTGTCCTATCCCCCCTCAGTCTCTTATTTTCTAAACGGAAAAGTCCCAGTCTCTTTAGCCTATCCTCATATGGGACCTGTTCCAAACCCCTAATCATTTTAGTTGCCCTTTTCTGAACCTTTTCTAATGCCAAAATATCTTTTTTGAGGTGAGGAGACCACATCTGTACGCAGCTTTCAGGATGTGGGTATACTATAGTTTTATATAGGGGCAGTAAGATATTCTTTGTCTTATTTTCTATCCCTTTTAAAATAATTCCTAGCATCCTATTTGCTTTTTTGACTGTCGCTGCACACTGCATGGATGCTTTCAGAGAATGATCCACGATAACTCCAAGATCTCTTTCCTGTTTAGTTGTAGCTAAATTAGCCCCCATCATATTGTATGTATAGTTGGGGTTATTTTTTCTAATGTGCATTACGTTACACTTATCCACATTCAATTTCATTTGCCATTTTGTTGCCCAATCACTCAGTTTGGTGAGATCTTTTTGAAGTTCTTCATAGTCTGCTTTGGTCTTGACTATCTTGAACAGTTTAGTATTGTCCACAAACTTTGCCACCTCACTTCTTACCCCTTTCTCTAGATTGTTTATGAATAAGTTGAATAGGATTGATCCTAGGACTGACCCTTGGGGAACATCACGTTACATCTCTCCATTCTGAAAATTTACCATTTATTCCTACCCTTTGTTTCCTGTCTTTTAACCAGTTCGCAGTCCATGAAAGGATCTTCTCTCTTATCCCATGACAACCTAAGATTTCTCTCTTGAGTGGTAGCAGCTAATTAGATCCACCTCATTTTATATGTACAGTTGGGATTATGTTCATCTGCCACTTTGTTGCTCAGTTGCCTAGTTTTGTGAGGTCCCTTTGAAGCTCTTTACAGTCTGCTTTGGACTTCACTATCTTGGACAGTTTAGTATCATCTGCAAATTTTGCCACCTCATTGTTTACCCCTTTCTCCAGATCATTTAATAATATGTTGAATATTATTGGTCCCATTTTGGACCCCTGGGGGACATCACTAATTACCTTTCTCCATTCTGAAAACTGACCATTATTCATACCCTTTGTATCCTATCTTTTAAGCAGATATCAATTCATGAGAGGACCTTTCCTCCTATCTCATGACAGCTTACTTTGCTTAATACCTTTTGGTGAGGAACCAAAGGCTTTCTGGAAATCTAAGTACACTGTATCCACTGGATCCTCCTTGTCCACATGTTTGTTGACCCCCTCAGAGAATTCTAGTAGATTTCTCTTTACAGAAACCATGTTGACTTTTCCCCAACAAATTATGTTCATCTATGTGTTTGACAATTTTATTCTTTACTCTAGTTTCAGCTAATTTGCCTGGTACGGAAGTTAGACTTACAGGCCTGTAATTGGCAGAATCACCTCCGGAGCCCTTTTTAAACATTGGCATCACATTCGCTATCGTCCAGTTATTTGGTACAGAAGATGATTTAAAGGATAGGTTACAAACCACAGTTAATAGTTCTGCAGTTTCACATTTGAGTTCTTTCAGAACTCTTGGGTGAATTCCATCTGGTCCTGATTTATTACTGATTAATATATTTATGTGTTTCAAAACCTCCTCTAGTGACACCTCAATCTAGGACAGTTCCTCAGATTTGTCACCTAAAAAGAATGGCTCATGTTTGGGATAGAGTCCAAGCATGCTGGTGGGCCACTCCAGGTGCCAGGGTCAGAGCGAACCATCCCACCTAGCTCTTCCTTCCTGAAACTTTTTCTGGCTTGCTTGGCCATGGCCCCAGCAGATTGTGTCTCCAGCATACAAAGGCATCAATGTCAAGAGACATGATCCAGAGAGGGGGCTACTGTCAAAATGACAAAGTAGTGATCTTTTTACAGTTTGAAGAGAAATATTTTGAGATTTTATAAATCTAAATAAATTAAATAAATTCCTCTTCCTGGTTATAACCAAGAGAAGTGTAGCAGAGAGTGTGATTCTGTTTGTCTCAATAGTACTATCACACTTTCACAGGACTTACCAGTAAGTCCATTACTTTTTAAAATCACCATAATTTTACATATGGGAGCTTATTAAAGCTGATAAACTGGTAAAGTGTTTATTTAAAAAAAAATTTCCATCAGCATTTTCAAAAAATCCAAACATTCCCACCATCTTTATAGCTATTTGTAACCTTCATCTCCCAAAAAAAACATAATGAACATTTAATAATTTTTTAAGGTTTTTTTTTAAACAAAATTTTTAATAAAAATATCAAAATTTGAAACGCTGGAGTTAGAGATTTACAAAATCTGGTGTGATTAATTCATAAATTAACAAAGAGATAATCTTAACTTATTTTTCTAAATAGCAGAAATTGATCTTGAATCTGTCACAGAATCTAATCTTCATAATCTTTAAAAAAATACAAAACTGTTCATATTGCTCAAACTGGGAGGAGCCTGACATAGGGCTCTGAAAAGACTTTCTGCCCACGTCTTCCATCTCTTTCACCTGCCACCCTCCTCTTCCTTCTTTCCTTTCAGTCCTCTTCTGTCACTTTTCTTCTCTTCTTTCAAAATCCTATGGTGTCGTTCCTTCCCCCATCGTTTTCTTTCTCATTTCAGTTGTAGTTGTTACTCCAGTGGCCCTCAAAACTTATTAACAGAAATGAACATCACATGATCTTGTTACTCATCTCCCTTCTTCTTCCTGCATCTTGATCTTATTTGATTGGTAAGTGCATTTGGGCAGGAACTTGTTCTGTGCAGTGCCTAGCACACATGCAGGTATAGGTAAATAAAAATAGTATTTACTAACAACAGAGTCACATATATGCTAATTCTCCGATGGCAGAGATCAGACAGTATTTACACTTAATTATTTTGGAGCTTTCATCTGGCTGTTGAGCAAAGACTGAGTGCTGCCACTTGTCTGTTTCTAGGCAGCCGCAGCTCTCACACTCACATGTTGCCTGGCTGGCCCTAATGAAGGGGGGCATCACAAGAACAAGTATGCTCTGGCAGCCAGCCTATTGAGCGAGAGCACGGCTGATATGTGTTGCCATAGTAACAGCAGCACAAGATACAGCTGGCCACCTTCTCAGAGCAGGAACTGGAAACACTCAGGATTTATATATTAGAAATCTACAAAAATTAACACAGTAAAGGACAGTAAATACTTCTAAGTTGCTTCATTTCTTCACTCACCAGTTTCAACAGCTCTGGATTATGGGATACTATTGCTGGTGTGAAAGCATTAAACATATTATTGAACATACAACGTCTTGAGGTTGTGGCCCATAATTGGTCTTTGATCAATCATTTTATCTTTCAAAAGGAGCAGTGCTTTCATGGCAGATCATAGTGGCAGAGGGAGCAGTGATCTCTCCGATGGCTAGATCCAATCCCATGGATAGTTTTGAATATCAGAACAAGAGACCTTGAATTGGCTTCTGTTCTTAATAAAAAACCAGTGCAGTCAGTAGGACAATGGGATAATGTGTTTTCAGTGACTTGTGTTTTCAAGGCTAGTTCTACATTGAAAAGTTATATCAGCATAGTTACATCAGTTTGGGCAGGGGTGGGGAACCTCAGGTCTGGGGGGCTGGATGAGGATCTGGCCCCCAAGGCTCAGGGCTCCCCCTCCCCAGCATTGAGGAGCCTGCGCTGGTGCTTCAGCCCTCCCACTGCCCCATCGTGGGGCTAGAGCACACAAAATGTAGTTAGGGTCACCAGGTATCCGATATTTAACCGGACAGTCTGTTTTTTGCGCCCTCTGTCCAGTAAAAAAATTCAGAAAATACAGGACATGTTCAGTGTCCGGTATTTTCTGCTTTTCCGGCTTGGCGCTCAACGGAAACCTGGCGGGGGCGGGGGGAGTGGCTGGGGAGGCAGGGCCGCAATTGGTGCTGGGAGCCCTCAGCTCAGCTGGTTGCGTGCAGAAGCCTGGCAGGGGCAGGGCCAGGAGCTCCCAGCGCCAATCGTGGCCCCACCTCCCCAGACACTTCCCCTACTCCCAGCAGCAATCGGTGCTGGGAGGTTCATGTAGTCAAAATATATGATGTAGAGTGTTGATTGTTTATAATAAAGGTCCCATTCAGTGTTAACTTTTAATTTTTAGCACGTGTGTTCAGTATTTTTTGGGAAACCATCTAGCAACCCTAAATGTAGTAGGCTAGGCCTCCCTAGGCTCTGGTGTGCAAGGGAAATGTGGGGAGTGTCTCTCTCCTCAGTTGGGGGGGCCATATCAGTGAGGGTTTAGAGGTTTTTCTTTGTTTGTTTTTTGGAGGTTTTTTTGCTTCTCACATGTGTGCGGACCTTGGCTGATCTTTCTGTGGGACAGCGGCCCCTGACCCAAAAAAGGTTCCTCACATCTGAGTTAGGATATGAAAAAGAGTGCTTCTATCACTTTAGGGCTTGCCTATACTTAAATCACTACACAGTGGTTCTCAACTGGTGTACACAGAGGCCTTTCAGGGGGTACATCAACTCATCTGGATATTTGCCTAGCTTTACAATAGGCTACATGAAAAGCATTAGTGAAGTCAGTACAAACTAAAATTCCATACAATTATTTGTTTATAGTGCTCTACGTACTGTACCCTGAAGTGTAATTAGAATATTTAAATTCTAATTGATTTATTTTATAATTAGATGGTAAAATGAGAAAGTAAACAATTTTCAGTAATAGTGTGCTGTGTATTTTTATGGCTGATTTTGTTTTTTTAAGAGAGGTGTAACTTGGGGATGCACAACAAAAATCAGCCTTCTAAAAAGGGATATAGCAGTCTGGAAAAGTTGAGAGCCACTGTTCTACAGGGGCACAGCTGCCACTTCAGTGTAGACTACCTAGGTCAATGGGACAGGTTTCTTTTTGGTGAAGGTAATCCAGTTCCTCAAGACATGGTAACTAGATCAACAGACGAAGTCCTCTATTAACTTAATACTGTCTACTGCAGGTTAGGTTGGCATAGCTATGTGTCTCAGGTAGGGTCACCAGCTTGCCAGGATTGTCCTTGAGTCTCGAGAAATCAAATATTAGTTTTTAATTCAAGATTGTCATGTGATGAAACCTCTAGGAATATATCCAATCAAAATGGGAAATACTACTTTCAGGGGTGTGTTTTTTTCAAATGCCCAAGAGATACAGGAGTACTTATGTAAATTCCCAGTCCCAGTGCAGACTATCCTTCAGATAACTTTGTTCAGGGAGGTGCTGTGTTCCTTTAGTGGCAGAAAAACCCTACCATAAGAATAGTCCACAGCTACACTACAGTGCTGTGCTGGCATACTTGTGATGACATTGCTAAACTGGTATAAGTCTCTGTGGTGATAGATATGCTGCTGCATTTTCCATGGTTTGACTTATGTTGAGGGTGTGCGACTTCCTCCCTACATATAATGAGTTGCTGTAAGCAAATCTTGAGGTCACAAATGTACAGATTATTGCCATGAGTTTGGTGTCCAGCTGAACAGCCCTAATGCAGGCTTCTGACCAGCCATAAGTGAAAGTGTATTTTTTATACAACCATGACTATACGCTAGAAACAGCGAGGAGTCCCCAGAAATCCAAAGCTGTGACAGTTCTTCAAAATGCTTCCCTCTTCCAGTCAGTATTACCTCTCTTGCCTGTGATCAGCTTCAGGCAGCTGACGACGGAGAAAGCTGGGAAATGGCAACAAGTTTCGGTTGGGTAACCATGTTTTAGCAATGGGGTAGTCTGTTTTAGCAAAAACAACAAGGAGTTTGTGAGCTCCAGCCCACAAAAGCTTATGTCCAAATAAATGGGTTAGTCTTTAAGGTCCCAACAGGTCTCGTTGTTGTTTTTTGGGAGATGGCGTTGTTGGCAGCAAATATACAACAGGTAAAGCTGCATATTTTCTGCACATTCCTGGCATTTCAAATTATGGTATAAAACCAGCTTCCTTAAAGAGTTCATATAAATATTAATAAGGATGGACTAGGGCTGAGCGTTGACACCTCAGATGCATTATGAAGTTGAAGACACAGTTCCTGCACCGAACAATTTGCAATCGAAATTGACAACAAAGGAGGGGAAAGGATGGGCTGTGGAATCAAAGTGAACAAGGTGTTGAAAAGCACCCCTTTTATTATTTACATGTTTGTAGTTCTTGTGCGTGTTTGTTTCAATAAGATGCATCCACTAATTTGGCACAGGAAATTGAGATCACCGTACCTTTGCATTTGAAAATGGCCTGTTTGTTGATTGTATTTAAGTAATGATGTTTTCAATTAGGATCTGAGAGATCAACCCATTTAGAGAATCAGTTAATAAACTAAAAGTCATGAGCATGAGTGACAAAAAGGACAGATTATTTATTTTAAATTATTATTATTGCATAAATGGTTGTGTTTGTCCCAGTCTGATAAACTAGCTATTTAGAGATCATTCGCATGCTAAAAATCTAAGAAGCCAACCATTTTTAAAAAATTGGCTTTTATGTTGTGTATTCCAACACAGTGGAGATGGTTCCAGTTGTGAGGATGTAGCAAATTGTGAGAGCAACGGCTACAGAAAAGGAACAGTGAGTATCAAATAAAGTAGATTTACTACAAAACTGGGAGATCAACAATGGTTTAATGAGCTGAAACAGTTGCATATTATGTCTGAGCGAAATACATCCTATGTGCAGGAGTGACTGGTACCTGAGGGCAAGGAGGGCTAGCCATAGGGGCAGAGATGGGACGTGGGGGCACCCCATTTATCAATTACATTTTTGGCAGGATTCTGGGAGGGCAGGTGCACCTCCTGCGTGCTACCATGAGTCACCTAACCCCTGCACATAATACACTTTAAAGTAGTATATCTCTGTGCATAGTGCTTACTGGTTGCTTACTGACTTGTTAAATGTTTTTTGTCACCTTGTTTGCCCAAATCATTAGCATAGTGGCCCAGGTTTGTGTCTGTGGGTGTCAGTGAGACATAGCCTTCTTTGTGCAGGCCCATATTTATAGACTCATTTCTACAGAAATGAGCCAGATCAATGAAAGTGTATTGGCATGACAAGAATATGAGTACTGCCATTACAGTTTCATTAGGGCCTGATGTGAAGCTCACTAGCTGGTGCAGATGTTTCTAAAATAATACTGCTGGGAGTTGTCTTGACATTGGAATGCTTGGAAATCTGCCAACAGCATGTGGCCAACACGAGAACCCCGATTAAACTGAGAAAGAAGAGGAGAATGGATGTATCTCATTTTGTAGAGCACTCGGAAATGGCAATGAGTGCATTACAAGTGATAAAATATATGCAGACACAGGGCAGCATTGTATCCAGGAACCTTAGAAGTGGAGCCCAGCTATACTATTTAGAATACAGTGAACCCTCGCTACTTCGCGGTTCGACTATCGCGGATTCACGACTTCGCGGACTTTTTTCATTACATTATGAATCCGCGATGGTCGAACCGCGAAGTAGCGGTTACCAAAACTTTAAAAAGCCTCCGGGGAAGCCGGCGGGGGGGCATCCCAGGCGCGCCTGGGCTGCTCCCCCGCCGGAGCCCCTCCGCGGCTTTCAAAGCCTCGGGGGAAGCCGGCGGGGGGGGCATCCCAGGCGCGCCTGGGCTGCTCCCCGCCGGAGCCCCTCCGTGGCTTTCAAAGCCTACTTCGCGGATTTTCACCTATCGCGGTAGGGTTTGGAACCTATCTACCGCGATAAACGAGGGTTCACTGTATATGTACAGTATTATGGGGGCTAATTTGGCTATGACAAATCAGGAAAGAGATCTTGGAGTTATAGTGGATAGTTCTCTGAAAACTTCCACACAGTGTGCAGCGGCGGTCAAAAAGGCAAATAGGATGCTAGGAATTATTAAGAAAGGGATAGAAAATACTACACAGAATATCTTACTGCCCCTGTATAAAACTATGGTATGCCCACATCTTGAATACTGTGTACAGATGTGGTCTCCTCACCTCAAAAAAGATATTTTGGCCTTGGAAAGGGTTCAGAAAAGGGCAACTAAAATTATTAGGGGTTTGGAATTACAGATGAAAAAGTGACACAGAGAAAAAGAGAAAGCGAGAAAGTGACTTTGCTCCAGGTCACAACACAGGAAGCCTGAAGAGGAGACAAACTGAATGTGGGTCTCCTGAATGCTTTCGCCACCGCCACTCTTCTGTATAGTTATATCTAATACCTGTATGATTAATAATAGAAAATCTATTATATCTGATACAGCAATATTGAACATTATGTCAGTTGATCAGAAACTGGAATCTGCAGAGGGTACCGTATATTCCGGCATACAAGACGACTTTTGATGTTAAAAAACATCCCCCAAAAATCGGGGGTCGTCTTGTACGCCGGGCATACATCCCAGGCGTGCCTGGGATGCCCCCCCCGCCGGCTTCCCCCGAGGCTTTGAGGATCCTACTTCTACTTCGCGGATTTTCATCTATCGCGGTAGGGTTTGGAACCTATCTACCGCGATAAACGAGGGTTCACTGTACCATCATTATGAACTTTGTGTTACTATGTCTATACTAGAGATGTTAGATGGTGGGTGATAGAATAGTTAATTAACTGCAAGAATTCTCAGCAGTTAGCTGACTATTCTGTAATTCTCAGGGGTAGGTCCAGTGCCCAGTGCAGCAGCCAGTGCACTCTACCTCCATTCCCAGTGAGCCCCCTGCCAACTCATGCTGCTGCCTCTGATACAGCATGGGGTGCCGGGCAGGAGCCGGTCCACAAGAGAAGCCAGTTTGAAAACCAGTTCCCTGCACAGACCAGCTGCCTGCCACCTGCTTTGCGGTAGCCTCCCCTGACCTGCTCCTCACCACGCTCTCCCTCTAATAGAGGCAGCAGTGGAAGTGTGGGGAGAAGGCAGCACTGTGGAGCTGGTGCTGGGGGCAATCAGCTTTTAAGCCAGCTTCTACCCAGCACTGGCTCCTGCTTCCCCTCCATTGCTGCCTCCATTGCTGATACAGAGGCATCAGGGAAGGAGAATGCAAGTAGTCGACTGGATTAACCGATAAGCCTAGGCTTCTCGGTTAATCATCTAATCGACTACTCATTGACAGCCCTAGTCCATACTGCAGTGTAAGCCCAGGCACAAAGCTAACCCAATTTGTGTTGATACTACAACTGAGTTAATCCAGGCTCAGACCCAGGGTCCCAGGACCCTACAGGCTTACAATGTACAAGCTCAAGTCAAGCCAGGATCCAGGGTTTGAACCCTATTGCTTTGCAGTGTAGCCACAGTCGAGCTTAACTCAGGCCTATAAGTATCCCACAGTTCCATGGGATAGCTTCCTTAGTCCTCTGTGTACCAACAATCTGCAGTCCACTCTGTTGAAAATGGAAGCCCCCATCCCAGCTTCCTTGGCAAACAGCAGCCGCTCAGCAGCAGTGGCAGTAACCTATTCTGGTCTGATCACTGTTCTACAAACACACTTTTATAGAGCCTCCTAGGGTTGCAGTGGAGAGTGAACCTATCAAGCCTTTTACAAAACAAGCTGCTTCCTGGTGAAGTGCAGAGTGAACAGTAAAGTTTTCTCACAGTGCATTTCTGTTGTAGGGCAGAGCAGTATCATTTGGGGAGAGTGGGGGCAGGAGGGACTCTGGGATATGTTTTCTTTGACACTGTCCCCAGAGTCCTAGATTTCAGCATGAGTTAGAAATGTCTTAACATAGATTGAGGTGTCATTAGAGGAGATTTTTGGAACAAACTGATAAACTAAACAGTCATAAATCACCAGGACCAGATGGCATTTACCCAAGAGTAAATTCATTCATTCATTTCAGAACTCAAATGTGAAATTGCAGAACTATTAACTGTAGTTTGCAACCTAAACTTTAAATCAGCGGTGACGACCTGCGGCCGCCTGGTTATATGTGGCCCACTGAGGTTCTACCTGTGGCCCGAACACCTCGGCTATGTCTACACTGGCTTGATCTTGCGCCAGAGCTATGCAAATGAGGCTAAGCGTGGAATATCGCTGAGCCTCATTTTCGTATATAATGAGCTGCCATTTTTGCGGAAGAGGCTCTTGCACCAGAAGGAGCTGTCTACACGGCCCCTTCTTGTACAAGAAAAACCCTCTTGCTCAATGCCGTTATTCCTGAAAATAATCAGCGTTGGATTAGGAAGTGCAGAGCTCCAGTTCCCCGGTATATGAGAGGGGGTGGGGGAAGGAGGCAGATGGGGTGCATGGGCCACAGGTGGAGTTCCAGTGGGCTGTTGGCTACAGTTTGCCTTATGCTGATTTTCAATCCTGTGGCCCACTCACTAGTCTTGGATGCCCATCACTATTATATAGACTTTGGAAACCTATTTTCAGCTCCTAATGTGGTATGTACACATACAATTCACAAAGCTGTTGGTGATCAGGGTGACACTGGCTTTTAATTGAGACCTCTCAGGACAAACTTTTCGGAATTAGAATGTACATGTCAGGTCCCAGTGATCTCCGTAACCCCTTTGCAGCCCCTTGCTAGTTGCCCTTAAGAGGTTCTTGGGTCCCACGCACTTCTAAGGTCTTGCATCTGCCATAATAGGTATTGGAACAAAAATTCCCAAGGTGAAATATGTAACATTAGATTTACCTGGTGTTGCTTGGGTCCTTCAGGACAGGAGTCAGGGTTGTGGGAAGAGAAGGGGCTCTGGACAGGGGGTTGGGAGGTGTGTGTAGAAGATAAGGGAAAGGGGTGGGGAGCAGGCATACAGCATGTGGTAGGGGCATCCCAGGGCAATGGAGTTCTCACAGCCTGGTGCTGGCTGCTGCCTTGGGCCAAGCTGGGGCAGTGTGGGCTGTGCTGCCTAGCTGCCCCACAACACTCCAAAGCTGTCGGGGTGGTGGGATCTCTCCCCAGGGCTGGCCAGACCAACGGAGGCTGTGCTCTCCAGTCACTGGCTGCTGTGTGGCTTTCCAGGGCTGTCAGGAAGGTGGGGGCATGCTAACTTGCATGCCCACCTGTGGTCATTAGTGAGTATAATTGTCCCTGTTTTTACAGCCCTCCCTTTCCATTTGATTGTTTCCAGTCTGATATCAGCTTCCAGACAGAGAGAGACAAATTTGGAACCCCTTTGCCTGAATTCAAGAGATTTTCTTCTTGGGAGCAAGAATTAGGAAAGACACACTCCTATAAAGTTGTAAGTTTAGGCATTCAGTAATCAAGAAAATTAACTCCTGCTTGTTGTGATTGTTTTGCAGACCCTTTTGTTTTGTTTGCATTCTCTAGGTTGCGTTACTTGCTGATGAGTATTGTAACTACTGTCAGGATGTTTTACAGAACTTGCGAAACAAAGAACTTGACCAGGTATGCCTTCATTTTTAACAACAGATCTGTAAATATGAGCATTAGTGATTTATTTAAATGACAGAAATATTGCAATGACAAAATTATCTCCATGTAGTTCTCCTACATTATGCCATCTGATCATTATATGCAAACTGGGCACTCAGTTAAATCATTCTGGAATACTTTGACATGACATGTATGTTGTAGGGGCCAAATTAGAGATCCAGGCCCAGATCCTCAAAACTATGTAGGTGCTTGTTGCAGGGTCTTGATTATACCTTCCTTTTGAAGGGGAGGTGATGGCTCAGTAGCTCTGTGGTTACAACATTCTGGTCACGCCTAGCAACCCAATTGCCTGGCCTAGCAGCCAGAGTAATTAGAATCTCCCTTGGCTATAGGAAAGCATGGCCTAGTGGTCCAAGTCAATACGTAACAACACTTAATTGGAGGGCAGTATGGCCCAATGGCCTAGTCACAGGACAGTGTTGCCTAATGGCTGGAGTCAGTATACATCAGCCCCTAATCCTAAGACAGTGTGGCCCAATGGCCTAGATGTTTGTCTGGGCACCAGAGTCTCCGCTCCCATGGGCCAGGTTCCAGGCTGGTCCACAGCAAGGGCTAGCACATCACATCCTTCCTCCTCAGCAGTCAGTCCAGTCTGAGCTGGGCTTTTATTCAATGGTAGTTGGAGCGTGTTCAGCAATGTCTGGTAAGCAAGGCTTCTGCAGCTAAGAGCACTGTCTTAATCCCTTCATCTTCAGTGCAGGGTTTGATTATTCCATGACCGTGCCTAATTCCCATTGAATTTAAAATGAGTTTGGGCAGATGGAGAGTACTGAAAGGGAAAAAAAAATGTTTGGTCGATCTCAGAAAACTAAGAAGAACAAGACATCTACTAAACTTACCTTAGATTTTGGCTGGTTTGTGTTTAAAAACAGGTTGGTTGTGGGGATAATTTACAGAATTGTTCTTGAAAAAGGCCAAGTTCTTATTTAGCCGGTTTTCTCCGTATCTGTGGACATATTTACATTACTGCTCATTTGTCTCTCTTCTTCCTCCTTTAAAGCAAACTTCATGCCCACGATCTCCTTCTGACTTTAAGGGCAATCCAAGATCTACCCTGCTCCTTCCCCAAGGCCTCACCCCTTCTCTGAAGCCCTGCCCTACTCTCACTCCATCTCTCCCCCATCACTTTCACTGGGCTCAGGCAGGGAGTTGGATACCAGAGGAGGTTCTCTGCCTACCCCAACCCCACACCACTCCCAGAAGGGGCCTCAACGCGTCTGTGACCTTGGGGGTGGAGGGCAGGTGATGTGGCCCTGCACACTGCCCTTCTCTGCTGGCCTGCCCCCTCAGCTCCCATTGGCCACAATTCTCCATTCCCGAGTTGTGGAGGCAATGCTTGTAGGCAGGAGCAGTGCACGGAACCTTCTGCCCTCTCCGCCCCGAGCCATGCTGGCCACTTCCAGGAAGAGGCCGGTGGTGTGGAGCAGTCCTGCTCCAACACTGGAGATTGCGAATGACTGGGAGACTCCCCAGGCTCAACCAGTTAATCCTGATTGACTCGGTGACCAATGTTTTAAAGTTTAACTTGCATCCTGAGGCAGGGCCATCCCTAAGCGGCTGTGGGGTCCAGGGCACCCCATCCTAGGCACAGGGCCTGTGGAGCCCACACACTCCCTACTCCACCCTTCCCTCAAGCCCCCACCCTGCTCCACCCCACCCCTTCCCACCTCTGTTCTGCCTCCATTGCACCTATTCCCCAAAGCCCCCAAGAGACACAACCTGCGGGATTACTGGGGAACCTGGTGCAGCATGGGAGCCAGGGTCAGGCCCCGTAGCACTCACCACAGTGGCCTAGAGATGGCAGCAGAGCAGAGCAGGCTTCCACTGTCATGATGAGTGCAAGGGAGGGGAAAGCCAGACTCCCGCTGCCTTGCATCAGATTCCCCAAGTAATTGCCCAGGCCACCCTCAGACCCAGAAGTCCTGTCCATAGGACAGTGAGGCAGAGCTACCTAAAGCATTGGGCCTCGGGCAGAAACCCTGAACCATCCTATGGATGGGACAACTCTGCCCTGAGGTTGTTCTAACCTAGGTCAGAATGAGGGTTCGGAGGGAACCAGGAGGAGAACTAAGGAAGCATGGTCAGTTCCATCAGAGCTCCTCCCTCCACTGCATTGAGGAGTGTAGTGTTGTTTGCATTAAGTCTACCATGCCACAAGTGCAAGTTTAATGAAAATTAACTAAGGAATTTGTGCAATAGGTGGAAAACCTTATCATGTCTTTCTGGAAGTCTTTGCAGCCTGAAACAATAATGCTTATGTCACTGCCAGATGTATGCCAGCTGTTTAAATGCTATGATAGACAGCTGTTCAAGGTACTTTAGACACATTTGTTTATTGCAATTATTTTGCTGTTAATGTCTCAACTAGAATTGCTGAAAATATATGAATATAGTTGTTTATTGTGCCTCTATACCAGGGAAATACCACCTGAATCTTAAAAGTCTGTTCTTTATACTTTATTGAAACACTATGGCTGAGGTTTTTGGATGAACTCATTGGAGGCTGACACCCAACACTCACTGAATTTCCATAGGCACTGTTAAAAGATCTAGCCTGCATCAGTGGAACCTGCTTTTATGACCTTCTGTCACAGGGCAGTGCACCAAGAGGGAGGGCATAGTTGAGTCTCTGGGGGCTCTTGAAATCACATCCCAACCCCATTTATACAGTAATTGAGCTGCTGTCAAACACATGGCTCTCTTGCTAGGAGCATACAGCCTGGGGCTAAGCTCTTCTTTCATTGGGGCAGTTCAGCCTAGCAGCCAGAGTCAATAGCAGCAGGTGCAGGCCCCATAAGTTGGGTATTGAGGAGGGGATATGGGGACCCAGGGCCTCCCTACTCCACCAGGTCCCAGCCCAGGGCCCTAGTAGCAGTGGCATGGTCTACCACTAGCTTGGCAGGGAATCTTTCTGCAACATACCAAGCTATCCAGGCTCTAATTGCCCATTCTAGGCTACTGTCTACTTGCCTCCACCAGACTCCTTCCAGGGTCCTTCCTCTAGGTCACCATCACCTGGGGCCTTGCTAGCCGGTCTCCAGGTCTGGTCCAGCCCCACTAGCAGTTACCCCCAGGCCCTGTTCAGCAGCCAGCCCAGACTGAGCTTCTCTCCAAACCTTTATACCTGGGCTGCAATCTGAGCATACCCAGCATGGCTGGGGAGATGGGGAACCTTCTTCAGCCAGGTGAGCCTGGTTAACCCCTGTTTTCCCAGTGCAGGGCTGGTATACCCCATCACACCTTCTAACATGAGGTTCAGTGCGACTGATGAAGAATGAATACTGGATTGGTGCCATTTAAAAATATATATATGTTGGTCCTTTTACAGCACTATATGCTTTTAGTGAAACTTCCACATTGAAACACACAGTTCTTCATTCATAAGCATTTACCTTTTACTTGAAATTGGCCATCATAATAATATTTGATGACTAATTAAAGAAATGATAGTCAGGCTTTTATAGTTAGGATAGTTAACTAGGTCATTAAACTCAGTGGGAGTTTTCCATTGACTTTAGTTGAAGCAGGAACGGGACCATGTATTATGCAGATTGAGGCCACCAATATAAGTTTGTTTTATGATCTTAGAAACATCTGTAACAAGCCACAATAATCTATTTTCCCTATGAACCTTTGTATTAGGAAATGGAGAGCATTCTCCTTGATGACTTCCTGGAAGATGTTTCTATACAATATTTGAAGTCAGTCAGATTGTTCAGTAAAAACGTTAAACTTTGGCTGCTCACTGTTTGGGAAGATCTTCCACTATTACTACGGATTTCCAAAATAAAAGGTATGCAGCAGTAATGGAGTGAGTAGATGTATAGAATTTGTCCAAAACTTTATAACAAATCCATTTTTAGACTCTACCTACAGTGGAAAAAAAACCCTGATACTAAACCATTTTTAAAATATACTTTTAAACTCTTTCAGGTGGTATAATTTTGATACTTGTGAGGAATGGGATTAATTTGGTTGTAACCAAAAATAAGTAGCCCCGCCCAAATTTGTAAAAATAATTCTAACCAAATTATGTCCAGTCTATGCTAAACGATGTTAAGTAAGAATTTAATTTTTTTTTAAAACTTGTGCCTTGGCATGGTCTCTTTGGCAGTGTTGTTGATTATGAATAATGTGCAGAGAAGGTAGATCATAGTTTAAAAAGCTGAAAGTAATAGTGAGGTCCATCTTAAAGTTATAGTACAACACCAGTATTTTGATAAACTAAATTACAGATAAATAGTGACACCATTTTGTAAAATGTAACAAACTTCAAAGTTCCTATTCGTTTTATTAAATTATTACATGCAGGGTTAGTAGCATCATCTATTACTAAGGTTGCCCAACACTTCACATTAAAAGGCTATATCTATATTGACAAGATTTTGTGCAAATACTCTTTAACGCAAGAGTTTTTGCATTAGAGTATTTGAGTAAGAGAGCGTCTACACTGGCATGTGCCTTTGCGCAAAAGATGTGCTTTTGCGCAAGAGCATCCGTGCCAGTGTAGATGCTCTCTTGCGCAAGAAAGCTCCGATGGCCATTTTAAACATCGGGCTTTCTTGCGCAAGACGTTGATGTTGCCTGTCTACACTGGCCGCTTGCGCAAGAACAGTTGCTCCCTGAGTGGGAACGTCAGAGTACTTGTGCAAGAAGCACTGATTTTATACATTAGAACGTCAGTGTTCTTGCGCAAGCACTCACGGCCAGTGTAGACAGGTGCCAAGATTTTGCGCAAAAGTGGCCGCTTTTGTGCAAAATCTTGCCAATGTAGACGTAGCCTAAGAGTTCTTTCAGTTGTTTTCAGTTTCCAAAACTTGAAAAATGTGGGTTGAAATTTTCCATGCTAGGTATCTGCCTTAAGTTGCATTTTTTTGGAAAATGAGGGGCAACAGATCAGCATTTTACAAAAATGAGGCTAGGGGAAAACATGTTGTTTTGTCCATGTTAAAAAAAATTGAGGTATTTTCTTTATCATCATCATAGAACCTTGGAGCCCCAGGCATGTATGAGAACCCCCCTGTGCTAGATGCTGTACAAACATGGAACAAAAAAAAAAAATTCCTGCCCTAAAGAGCTTGCAATATAAGACCAGAAGCTACAGATGGAGCAGTACAAGGAAACAATGGGCCAATATTGGCCAGCGTGATAGGCATCAGTTTCAACACACTGGAAACCTAATTGTCAGGGTTTTTTTGTAGGCCTTACAGCAAAATAAAGTTTTAGGGAGGGGTTTGAAGGTGGATAATGAGGTCACGTTGTGGATGTTTTACAGGAAGTATTTCCCAAGCATGAAAGGTAGCATGGCTGAAAGCATATAGATATTTGTTTTAAAATGTAAGAAGTGTAGGGTTGCCAGATACTTAAAAAACAACAAAAAAACCCCGAACATGGTGGGGAAAAAAGTTGGTTGAACAAAAAAAAAGGGGGGAGGGGGACCAAAGTTGTTGAGCAAAAAAACCCCAAAAAGGCACAAAAGAAAGAGGCACTGCACCTTTAAATCCCTCCGCTCACTGCTTCCCCCCACCCCCCCCAGCAACTTTTCATTGCAGAATGAGAGATGATAGGTGGGGTGGGGATAGGTCATGAAGTGCCTTGAAAGTGAAGACAAGTGGTTTAGGTTTGATATTATAGCAGAGAGGGAGCCAGTGAAGGGATGCAAAGACAGGGGTGACATAGCCAACAGCTAAGGAAATGATCTTTGCATCAGAATTGTGAATGGGTAGCAACAGGGCAAGATGGCATTGGTCAGTGTCAGGGAAGATGGTGTTGCAGTAATAGAGCTGCAAGATGATGAGAGCTTGGACATGAGTTTTAGCTGTGTGGATGGATAGGAAAGGCTGTATCTTAAAAGCACTATGCAGAAAGAATCTGCAAGACTTTAGGCATAGGCTGACTGGGAGGAGCTAGAAAGAAGTCTGAATTGAGGATGATACCCAGTCTATAGGACTTAAGAAGTTGGTTGTGCCCACAAAAGCTCATGATGCCATCTACATTTTTGTTAGTCCCCAAGGTGCTACAGGACTATGTTGTTTTTTAAGTTTTTTCTATTACAGACTAACACAGCTACCCCTCTGAAACTAGCAGAGAAAAGGGTAGTTTTGTCCAGTGATTGAGAAAGGCAATAGTAGAAAGGGATGGGTAGAGAATGAGGAATTATTTTCTGCCTTGTTGAGCTTGAGTGGATGGCTAGACATCCACAAGGTGATGTCTGAGAGACAGTCTGAGACATTAGTTTGGAGTAATACTTTAGCACAGTGGTTTTCAAACTCAGGGTCATGGTCCCGTACTGAGTTGTGCCTGACATTCTGTAACCGCCACTGAGTGGATTTGAACCTGGGACCTCTGAAGCAGAGTACAAGAGCGGCTACCCTCTGAGCTAAAAGCTAGCTGGATCCCAGCCCATGCTGTAGAGGTCTCTTGATTTTTAACTGTTGCTGTGGACTAGGTACCACTTGCATTGCTCAGTAACCACACTAGGTGTGTGGATTACAATTCCACTGGGTCTCGTTGCTGCAGAGTAATCAGGTGATCAGCAGGGGTGCTAAGGCAGACTGCTGTACCATACCGCGCCCCAGAAGTGGCTGGCAGCAAACCCGGCTTCTAGGTGTGTGGGAGTAGAGAGTGCACAGGGCTCATGCATGCCCCTACCCTGAGCACTAGCTCCTCACTCCTATTGGCTGGGGACCTGCTGCTGGCTGCTTCTGGGGTGCAACATGGTCTGCAATGCCAGGAGAGGCATGAAACCTGCCTTAACAGTCCCGATGCACTGCTGACCAGGAGCCGCAGAAGGTAAGCCCCTCCTGCTTCATCCCTGACTCCCCCCCGCTCCAAAGTTAGAGACCCCCCTCCCCAAACTCTCATCAGCCTCAATCCGGAGCCCACACTCTATTTAAATTATATGGGGTCACGGGCATCAACAATTTTCTTCAACTGGGTCATGAGAAAAAATGGTTGAAAACCACTGCTCTATCATGCCTTGACATTTGACCAAGGGAGAGGAGGCAACTTTGTGTTAGAGGTGTGCCTCATGTTGTTCATGTGAAAATAAGCCCAAATTTGCTCAAGTTATAAATCTTGGAAAAATTTCAGTTTGCACATGCTTACTACTAGATTAGCAAGAGCTTATCAGATAAAATCTCTGAAAATTCTGTATTCCCTGGGCTTGCTTCATGCCCTCACAGCTCCTAATAGAGCGACCAAACATCCTGATTTTATAAGGACAGTCCTGCTATTTAGGGCTTTTAAAAAATATATATGCTCCTATTGCCTCCCACTCCCTAGTCCTGATTTTTCACACTTTCTATCTGGTCACTGTAGCTTCAATTGCTGCCAGACTGCGTATGTGCCATCCCCACAGGCGACTGAACTTGCTCCAGACCAGAGCTACTAGGGTGAAGATAGATTTTAATAACAGCTGCTCCTGGCTGCTGTAGGCTGGGGTGGGAGCTGATACCAGAACGGTGAGCCCGTCTCGCCTGGGCTTTTATGAATTTGTTTGCTGGAAGCCAGGAAATGTGGAGGAGGAAGCCATCTGCTTCAAGTAAAAGGGCATAACAACAGATGATAGACGGAGAAAAACGAGTAGATTGGATTAAGGCATCTGCTGAGCTGGAACTGTACAGAGGAGTAAACTGTGGCTCCTAATACACTTTAAATGCAGAGCTGCAGCAAGGGTAGGTACTGGACCAGTTGCAAGTCAGGACAGAGCCAGGCTGCTGACTAGCCTGCTAAAAAATTTACTGGCAGGTGGGGAGGGTGGGAAATACATGTATGCTCCCCCTACTCAGTCGCAGCTTTACCATTAGGTCAATTGTTCCCTGGCACCAGGACCAAACTTAGAAGGTCCCTGTTTCTCTCCCTTCCTCCCAGCTGTGCGGTGCACTGGAAGCTTGAAGGGCATCACAGGGAGCCAAGCTACCCTGAGAACTGTAGGTCCTTAGCCAGCTTCGTTACAGAGCTGGCACTGGAGCAGGAAAGGGACTACATTTCCCATCATTCCCTTGGCCTCTAGCAACAGGAAAGGAAGGGAGAAGGAGGGTTATGGAGAAGCTGTGAGCCCTGCACAGCAGCTTGCTGTGACTGGAGGGCTGGCTGCTAGAAGAGGTGGGGCTGTGAGTGGGGAGCATGTGTGCACAGGGAGTGAGCAGCTGTGGCCCAGATCTCACCCTCAGAAGCCTTCCCAGACTGGATTAGGGATGTTAGTGGCCTCAGTTTTCTGCCCCCAAGGGCAGTGTGTGGACCGCTCTAGGAGAGGTTAATATGATAAGTGAGGGAGGGAGGGAAGGCTCTACAGAGGGTCTGGGCAGCTTTAGCTATAAATGCCAGGCACATAGCAGGATTTCTGTTTCCACAGCCATGGAAGCAGAAATGGGCTTTTCCTTTCCTGTTAGATTTATCTAACGCTCAGAAGGAGAATCTAGCACCTGCCTTCTAGATTTGAACAGGAGTGCTCAAATATAATTTGGGCTGCTGTTACATCATTTCTCCAAAATCAAATACTGATCCACTGCAATTTGTTGTAGAAAAAAATAGGATAAAATTGAGCAACAAATGCTGGCATCTTCCCAGTGCTAACTGGGACTGGAATTGCTATTTTCAACTGCCATTATCAGTTGTTGGTTTTTTTTTTTTAAGTTTTCTTCTTTTCAAAAGAAGACAGTAATATTGCATCAGTAGGGTTACCAGGTAGTCATAAAAAAAATACCGGACACGCTTCATGGGGGGGGAGACACTGAGATTTAAAAAGTTAACGCTCAACTGTTAAAACTAGGGATGTGAAAGCGTAACCATATGTATGGTTAACCAATGAGTTTGGGTACAGTTACACGCAGGCTCCTATTATGCGCGGCGAGCCGGCTTAAAAACTGGCTCTCAGCACACACTGGTTCCTGAGGAGTCCTTTTCCCCCACCCCTCCGGCTCCTGCCAGAGATACGATACTGGAATAGGAAGACTTTAGATCCGATCCAGTCTGGCAGTTCCTATGTCCTTAGAATCACAGACCTCACTGAACCACACAGAGAAATAAGACTCCAATCCACTCCCAATCACCCTGCGTAATTAAAATTCTATGCTGTAGGATAATGACAACATCGGAGCAGGAACGGGCCAGCGGGAGGCAGAGCTGGCAGTGGGGGGGAGGACTGGCCGGGGAAGACCGGGAGGAAAAGTCGGGAAGAATCAACCAACTGGCCAGCTAGGAGGGGGCGGGGAAGCGAATCAGCCGGCAAGGAGTAGGACTGACCCAGGCGGTGCAGATCTCAGGGCACTCCTTTCCTGCATGAGTCAGTCCAGCTGTGGCTCCACCACGCACTTGACCAGCGCGCAGGAGCATGGACCGAGTTGCCCCTCTATTTCCTCACACACAACCAGGGCTCCCAGCACCGATCGCGCCCCGCCTCCCAGTCACTCCCCTGCCAGGTTTCCGTCCAGCGCCCAATCGGAAAACCACAAAATACTGGACATTACACATGTCCAGTATTTTCTGGGGTTTTTTTCCAGGCAGAGGGCCCAAAAACTGAACTGTTCGGTAGAAAACCAGACACCTGGCAACCCTATGCATCAGTGATTTCCCCACAGAAAAAAAGCATGGAACAAAGGCAATTAAACTTTTCCTCATCATGTGGGATAGTCTTACAATATGGATTAAGATATCCTCCAACCACACAAACTGAAAATAGTTACACTGTACTGGATGCTGGGGTAGAGATTTGTCAGAATTGATCAGGTAGCTGCTGGCTGAGGAACTTTATTGAGCTGAGACCAGGGCCATATGCAGTGACTGGTGAAATAGGGTGATCCTGGAGAAATAGCTATGGAATGTCTGGATAAGGAAGGAGATAAATCTGTGGAGAGTTTCCCCTGATCAATATGACATTTCCGCTCACTGTGGACACTGGTAAATCCGGATGGGTGTACAGTTTAATGAGAAAAACTGGGGTCTGAGGAAGTTGTATACATAGAATCTTGCAGAGATGTGTGATCAAAGTGAAAAAGGCCTCTGAGACTCAGTGCTGGGTATACCATAGCTCTGCCACATCAGGCCCACACTCGGAAGGGCCTGATAACGACTACCTGGGGGCCCACAGATGTGTTTGGCATCAGGCTCACAAAATGCTAATCTGGCCATGGGTAAGTAGAGAAGAGGAGACAGATCTGACAAGGAGCTGAATTACGAGGGGGAAACCGGTACAATCTGGACACAGAGAGTGGGTCAAGGTGACAGGGAGTAGGCAGGAGAAACTGAGATTGGATGAGGAGCCCAGGATGGGAGACTAGGCTTGGTCGCCAGTGGATGGGCAGTAAGAGACAGATCAGATGAAGGAGCCAGGAAGTGGGAACTGGGATTAGTTGGGCAAGAAGACTGGGTCGAGAAACCTGAAGAATATAGACTGAAACTGGGTCGACAAATAGGAAGGGATTGCTGGTTTAAGCTAGTTTGGAAAATAATTAGATGAGATCGTGCCCACTAGAGCACACTTCTTGCCAGAAACTGGAACAGAATATACGGATGGGATTCTGTCTCTGCTTCAGAGTTCATATGTACTGTTAGGCAGGTCACTTAAACTTTTCAGATAGTTGGTAGAGGTAGTTGTCAGTTTTAGGGTAACTCAAGTTGTATTTACCCTCCACAGACCGTGTATTTACCCTCCACTCACTTAAAGATTTTTAGCTCTGAGTTGTCAGCTCTTCAGAGACAGGACACCTATGTCTCACTCCCTTCCTAATCTACACTCTGACATTCCCAGCAAGCCAGTCTGCCTGAAAAGTAGCACCTGCACTTTGTTTTCTGTCTGAGGACTATGGCCAGCCATTACAAGATGCCACACAGCTTCTAAGCAAGCACATTTATTCTTAAGGGCATCACTGAGAGAGAATATGAAAACAATAATAGAATCTACAGACATGTCAAAAAGCTTACCAGACATCACCCCCAACTCCAACACGGTCCTTCAGTGGTTGTCAGTCTTTCAAAGCCCACAGCTGGCTTTCCCTTTGGTTACAAGTTCATTTCAGTCTTTAGATTAGAAACAGGGCCCTGAGTCAACTTAAGCGCTGGCTGTTTACCCCCAAAGTCCTTTCTTTGACTGTTGGTCTCTGGAGAATCCCATTTGAACCAAAATATGTAAGTCTCCCCAGGAGAGGTACCTTGTTGGAGGTGTTATAATTTGAGTAATTTGCCTTAATTCTCTCCTATTATTTTCACTTTCTGGGTAAATTTTGGTAACCTTTCCCACCTGTAGTGTGTTCAGTCCCTGGCCCCCAATTATACACAAACCATTCATACACTTAATACAGTATCATCCCCTAAAGATATTGCAGGCAGTTGCCGTATGTGTCAATGATCATTACTTGGCTGTTCCTCACTTTCTGAGTGCACACGGTGAGATACTGGAGCCTAATTTGTGCTATACACTGACAGCTGTAACTAAAGTCAGTGGGAGCCTGAATATATAAAGTCCTATATAATGTTAAGTACTCTGAAAAATCAGGACCTAGGTTTCTCAAATTGGGCACCCAACATTAGTGGATATTTTTTACCTTAATGTCTCTGTGCCTCAGTTCCCATTTGTGAAATGAGGATTATAATTACTGTCTGTGTTATCATAGTATTTGGACCCCAGTTATGGACCTGGGCCCCATTGTACTAGATGCTGTACAACCACAGACTATTGAATATCTGCTCGTTAACTGAGTACCATCCATCCTGCACGGTGAATGTGGCAGGAATCTGGTGGAAAAAATAGTGTCTGTGTAGTCATCTAATTAAAGTCTGTGTCGTAATGCATGGCCTTGAGGGGGGTCAAATTAGGATTTCAGACCAATCTTAATTCTGGCCTTCCATAAGTTTTGAGTGTTTGACTTTGCAACCTTAATAATGTTCTTTTAATATAGTCTTTTTTTGTGAGTAATGTATTAAATTGGGCCTTATTGAGAAAAAAATATCCATAACCTTCTGATGCGCATGAACCCCAGAAGGTCATGAATCTGACTCAGAGAAAAGATTACCCATCTGGAAATTTCTGTAACTTATTCTGTACTTATACTAGATCTTCCTGCATCTAAGGATAAAACATAAACCCTATTTTATCCTTATGGCCTCACAGCAGGGATGATACTTTCCAAGTTTTGCACAGTGTCTGCACATTGTGAGTGCTACTGGAAGCAAATTAAATACAGCCTCTTGGTCATTATGCTTCACGATTATGGAAGCAGGAAGGCAAAGGTTTCATTTTTAAATCAAAATTGAAAAGGTTTATGATTGTTGTTTCTTTAATTGATCTTAAATTGTAATATAACAGCACATGGCTACAAGGAAAAAAGAAAAAGTATAATGGGTGGGAAATCTGGGGGGAAAGTCTTCTCTTTGTCATGAGTATATTGATTTTAAGAATAGTTTTAATCAATGCAGCTATTGTCTGCTAACTGCAAGCTTTAGAATGGCAGGCCTCAATCCTACAAGATGCTGAGTACCTCAACTGTCTTTGAAATCAAGGTACTAAATTCCTTGCTGGATAAAGCCCTCAGTCTTTCGCATGGTTCCCTCAGGGGCCCATTTTCTAAAGTATAATAACATGTGTCCTCATAGTATGCTTTAGAATTTAAAATGCCAATAAAAAGCACCTGCTCTTCTTTCTTAACAGAAGTTACGGTGTTTGTAAAAAGACTAAGAAGAAAAACGTATCTTTCAAATATGGCAAAGGTATGTGCTATGTACTTTTTAAAACCAAAATCCATAATGGCTTGAACACCTCGCATGTAATAAGCCTGACCTAGGTTTTGGATATGTATTTCGTATGCTTTGTTTGTAATATAACAACAAAACATTTCTTTGTTTGTACATTCCTACAAGCCATGGTTGGGGGACAAATCAATCCTCTTAGGTCCACACACAGGGTATGTCTACACTACCACCCTAGTTTGAACTACGGTGGTTAATGTAGTCATACGAACTTGCAAATGAAGCCCGGGATTTGAATTTCCCAGGCTTCATTTGCATGTTGCCGGGCGCCGCCGTTTTTAAATGTCCGCTAGTGCGGACTCCGTGCCCGCGGCTACACACAGCACGAACTAGATAGTTCGGACTAGGCTTCCTATTCCGAACTATCTGTACGCCTCATGGAACGAGGAACGAGGCATACAGATAGTTCGGACTTGGCTTCCTAGCCGAGTGGCCTTTTGTCGACAAAACTATACCTGCGTCCACACTACCACTGAGTTCTGTCGACATAACGTCGACAGAACTCAGCAGTTTTGTCGACGCTGGTAAACCTCATTTTACGAGGCATAACGCCTTCATTTTACGAGGCATAATGCAGCTTGCTTTGTCGACAGAACTCAATGTAGTCTAGACGCTCTTTGTCGACAGAAGCCTGTAGTCTAGACGTACCCTTATTGTTAGCAGCTGACATAAGAAGCCTGGGGTCGTCTTATTTCCTGATGATAGAAAAAAATAGGGGTGTTTTGTATGTTGGATGTTTCTATTTTGTTATTTCTTGTGAGACGGGAAACACCCAGTAAAAAGAAGGGGGTAATATTAAATCCTGCCCAAAAAACTGTTTTGCAAGATGAACTGCAGTAAACTAAAATGAATGAGGACTGGAGTGTTAATTGATATTGCAGTCAAATGGGATGAATAATGGAAAAAACAGGTTAGAATTATATTTGAAAATAAATGAGCCTCTTGCACTCCATTGGTGTTTGTGCTGTTAATCATTATTCACAAATATTCAGATGATTGCTGGGTAATTATGAAAGTGTTCGTGAATCCTGAAAGTTTTCTGAATTTTAGCACAAATGATTATTCATCTGGAAATCCATAGCAGATGTGCAATATTCATCATCCATTACTCTCTCTTCATTATTTTCCCATTTTAAAAGTAAAAACTTAAAAAACAATCAATAGTCCAGTAGCACCTTAAATATTAACAGAATATGTAGAGCGTATCATGAGCTTTCATGGGCAAACCCCCCTTCTTTAGATGTGGGTTTTGCTCACGAAAGCTCATGATACCATCTACATGTTTTGTTAGTCTTTAAGATGTTACTAGACTCTTTGTTTTTTTTTTTTTTTTTAAGTTTTTACTGTTACAGACTAACTTGGCTACCCCTCTGAACCATTTCAAAAGGTTCATTAGGGAAGACAAAATAATAGCATGTGATAACGGTGACCAGGCACGGACTATGAGAGTAGTCTGGAAGTACTGCGCCATGTAGCACAGCAAGAGGCCCATAAGCCTGGCACTACTTTGCAACAGCTCTGGCTCCATGGTGTGAATGCTGTGGCATCTGTGCAGGAAACCAGAGCACAAGAAAGCACATGTCCACTGCATCCCTTTCCTGTCCTGTGAGGGAGAGGCAGTGGAGGAGTGGCTTGTGAGATGCAGCTGTAGAGAGGAGCCCCTGTAAGTATGTGTCGCAGCTTGCCAGACCAACCAGCCATAGGAAGTGTCTGCCCTCCTGGTGGCCTCCCCAGAGTGCTTCTGGGGGCTCTAAGGCCAAGGCAGACGCTGTACAATGTGGATGCGCTATTTTGGACTAATTCAAACTAATTTTGAGGCTGCCCCATACTGAGGACAAGCTAGTTCAAATTCACTGCATTAGGCATTATTAAGTCGAATTTACGAGTTTTGAAATAGTTTCCTAATGTAGACATGGCCATCCTGAATGTTCATCATGCCAGTTTATTTTTTACTGGTCAATATTGTCTGTTCCACCTTACTCAGGAATACAGAATATTGTTGAGAAGTAGATCATTATTTGCTAAACATTCAGTGAGGAAAATTTGGAATGTGCCTAACTAGTCCTTTGGAGGCCAGTCTGGTTGTGTAATGTCATTAAGCTCAATGTTTTAACTTAACAAAGGTATACTCTTTGACAGAGGAGGGTTTAACAAAATTAAAGGTACTTACTTTTTTTTCTTTATCTATAGACAATGAGAATAGTCTTGAACAACAACAGCAGAGTTACTGTTTTAAAATCAGACTTGAATGCCATTATCAACCAGGGAATTGTGGACATTCCTGGAAATTCCTTGCAAAAGAAGTTTAGAAACATGGATGAAATGGAAAGTGACATGGAGCTCAAATGTAATATTTTATATCTTTTTTTATGCATTGGAGCACTTGGCTCACATCTTATTTAAGCTTTAGCATTTCCCCGTGTGTGTTTATTCATGATGTGTCTTAATCAGAAGCAGTCTTACTATAATACTAATTATTGGAACAGGTCCAGTAAAATTAAGATTGGCACATATAACATTATCCTCTAAGCATTAAGGATAAGAATGATAAGCTTTCTGTTCTGATTCTGACTTCCAGCTTTCTGTAGCAGCAGCATCTTTATGTTGGTATATCAGTTACTTCGAGCAAAATTTTAACAATAAAAATTATATATTTATTTGTTGTCTTCAATAAAATGATAATTAAATTGTGCTTGCGCCTATGGTATTAACCAAACTGCACTAAATTATTTTCAAATGGACAGATTTAAATATTGTACAATGAATAGGACAAAGGTTATTGACCTTGCAATCTGTGTCTTTCTAATATGCCATGGCATATAGAACCTATGTTAATTTATAAACAACAAAATGCAACATTTACATGGAGCAATGACATAATACTGTATAATGACAAGTTTAATTATTAGGTTAATAGGCTTCCGTTTAAATTTATAAAGGAGAGATGGGCAACTTGGTATACTGGACTGAACATAGGATGGAAAAAAAATCTTGAGTTTTATTCCTGGTTCTGCCCCTAACTTTCTATGGGTATGTCTACATTACAGCACTATTTCGAATTAACTTATTTCGAATTAGTTAATTCAAAATAAGCTAATTTGAAATAACGCATCTCGACCCAAAAACTAATTTGAAATGGTGTTTTGCTATTTCGAAATAGCACGTCCACATTGATTGGACGCTGGATCGCATTTAAGGGCAGCTGAAACCGGTTCCAGCAGGGCATCAGGTCAGTAGTTGTTTTATGTGGCTGCTGTCTGAGGCTTGTGCTCAAAGGGATCCCCCTGGACAGCTGGTTCTCAGCTTTCCCTGCTTGCTTGCCTACCTCGCTGAAGGACAGCAAAGCATTTTCTTCTCCATCTGCTTTGGTCGCTCTCCTTTGGGACACTGCAGCACTTGGCACCGTGGAGCCAGAGCCACCCCCGGGCACTCTAGTTCTCATGTTGAATGTCTTGCTGCAAGCCTGGCAGCAATTGCTGGAGGCTGCCTGGCACCTTCTACTGCAGCCCCCTGGCCCTCCCCCTGGCCCTCCATGGGGGCCCTAGAGGAGCGGCGGCCGGATGCCAGTGTGCCCCGCTGCATCTGGCATCTGGACACCAGCAGCGACTGGTGGGACCACATTGTCCTGGAGCGCTGGGGAGACCAACAGTGGACCCAGAACTTCAGGATGAAGGACACCTTCCTGGAGCTCTGCGAGTGGCTCGCCCCTGCTCTGAAGCGACGGGACACACGCACGAGGCCCGCCATTCCCCTCCACAAGTTGGTGGCCATCTTCCTCTGGAAGCTCTCCACGCCGTATAGCTACCGATCCATTGAGAACCAGCTCGGCGTGGGTAGATCCACCATCAGAGCAGTACTCATGCAGGTACAGCACTCACCCGTCACTGGTCCAGGATGGGGGGTTGCAAGGAGGACATGGGCTGCCCCAGGGAAAACAGGAGGGAGGTGGTATAAGTGCCCTTCCCAGGAGGGGTAGGTCCATCCCGGCCAAGCTACAGACCACCCGCGGTGGCCAGGATTGCAGCGAGGGTTGCTCCTGGGAGTGGGGCGCGGGGCAGTGGTGGGGAAAGGACACTCCCAGCCACCCAGGCACCCCAGTGACCCTCGGTTTTGTCTCTCTCTCTGCAGGTGGTGAAGGCCATCAACAGGGTGCTGTTCTGCAGAGTCATCCGCCTCACCGACCTGGACACGGTCATCTAGGGGTTCAGCACCCTCGGCTTCCCCAACTGCGGGGGGGGGGGGGCAATCGACGGGACACACATCCCCATCTGTGCCCCAGGCCACCAGGCCTACCTCTTTATCAACAGGAAGGGATACTTCTCCGTGATCCTGCAGGCCGTGTCTGACCACTGGGGCCAGTTCACGGACATCAATGTGGGCTGGTCCGGCAAGGCACACGATGCATGGGTGTTCTGCAACTCCTCCGTGTGCCAGAGGCTGCACGCCGGGACTTTCTTCCCTGACTGCCACATCAGGGTTGGGGACGTGGAGATGCCAGTGTGCTGGTGGGGGATGCAGCCTACCCCCTACAGCCCTGGCTCATGAAGCCCTACATGGGACACCTCAGCCTCTCCCGGCAGCCCTTCAATGCCAGGCTCAGCAGGGCCCGCATCGTAGTCAAGGGGGCCTTCAGCCGACTGAAAGCACAGTTTAGGTGCCTCCTTAACCACCTCGACCTCTCCCAGCACAAGATTCCACACGTGGTGGCAGCATGCTGTGTGCACCACAATTTGTGTGAGAGGAAGGGGGAGGCTTTCCTGCCAGCCTGGATGGCAGAGGCTGACTGCATGGCTGCCCAGTACGCACAGCCCCGCAAGGCTGCCAGCCGGGAGGCCCTTGGCTGGCTGCATCCAGGAAGCCCTGCGAGAGAGCTTCCAGGCAGATGAGGTCTGAAGTCCCTCTGGCATGCCCCACTGTAGCCTGGGGCCATACTTTCCTCTCTCACCTCCTTCCCCTTTCCCCTCCCTAACCCCCTTTCCTGATCTACACTAAAAACACCTGTGTTGCCACAAAAAAAGTCTTTATTTCACATAACTGGGCCGGGGGGAGGGTAGGAATGAGGGTGGGAGAGGGGAGGGGGGAAAACCTAGGAGGAGGGAGCTGGAAGGGGGAGGGAGGGAGATGGGAAGCTCAGGGTTGGGGGTCTTGCTGGCTCTCCCGTCTCTCAGCACTGTGGGTGCGGGGGCATTGGGGGAGAGTGGGTGTGGAGGGTGGGGCAGGAGGGATGGGGGTGTGGAGGAAGTGGGAGGAGGA